TCTGTCGCCGAGAGCAGACAATTTCTGGCGGCAATATCCCGATGGAGGCACTGTTTCTTCTCCAAATACGCCAGACCATCGGCAGACTCGATGCAGAAACGAAGGCGTTCCGTCAGGGTGATTTTCGACTTGTTCTTGCGGAGATACGAGAGCAGGGAGCCGTCTGGAAATTGGTGTTTGCGGACACGGCGCTATATGCTACGACAATTCAGTTGCTCCCTGTGAACCCTCCCCCCCTTTCTTATGCGCGCGCCGCAATGTATACGCCCTTCTCTCTCAAATGGCGTGTTGCCTCCGTGGTGTAGCGGTTAGCGCTGCTGTTTTGTAAATTCAGATCGCGGGTTCAATTCCGGTTGGGGTCAAATCCTTTTTGCTTTTTTTCTAAGGCAAGATTTTGTGTCTAAATGGCTCATAGCGTCATAAAAGAGCATCGATGTTGAATCTGAGGCTAAAAAAGCGAATTTTACGGCCAAAACTCGAGTTTTCAGCTCGAAATTCAAATTTTGTGCACAGAAATTAATTTTCAGGGTGGTAACGATTTTGAAACTCAAAAAATCGATTTCCAGACCTAGAATTTCCATTTTCGCGTTCAAAAACTGCGATTCGGACTCAAAATACGCATTTCGAGCCTGTGGAACCTCAAAATGAAACTCACGAGGACACATCTCCATGACAATCATCAGTGGGTGGGCGTGGACGGCGAGACCTGCAAAATTGGATGGTCTGAAGTTGGGAAGGCGGTGCTGCGCCTTTAAGGTAACTCAAGATCCCTATTGGGACCCTCAGGGGCACCCCCATTTTGCTAGAATCTCCAATTTCTTCATGATAGTTTATTTTCAAATACTTTCATGTGGTCACCATCATCATCATGTGACCCTCTGCTGGTCAGCCATCACTAATAGTTTATGATTTTCAATTTCTTTCCCAAACACGTGGTTCAGCTGCTACCTCTGACTATCATCAAAAAGTCCAAACAAATCAGGAAAAGCGAGAGAGAGAGAGAGAGAGAGAGAGAGAGAGAGAGAGAGAGAGAGAGAGAGAGAGAGTAGAGTCTAGGGAGGGCGGAGGTATGGTTTCAGGGTGAAACCCGAGACTCTGAGGTCTGCGCATCATCAACGGAGACAACTGGACATCCGGATATCCGGACAGACAGATATCAGGACATCTGGAAATCCGGGCGGACAAATACCCAAACATCTCGATAAGCGGATATTCGGACAGACAGATATCTGGACATCCGGATGTCCGGACAGACGGACAGACAAACATGCAGACATCCGGACACCCGGATATCTATAGACCCTCCATGTCTTGGCTACCGCACAGATGTCCGGACAAACGGACATCCGGACATCCAGATAACCGGACATTTAGATAACCGGACAGACAGACAATATCCGGACACTCACCAATAATCCGGACAATATGCGGATGTGAATACTTTCTCATCAACCTGGCCTCCTTCATAAACGCCGCTCGGGTTTCCCGTGTCATCTGACATCTCATCGTCTTCACCGCCGTCTCCACTCGTTGACCGCCGATCTCGCATTCCGCCAAGGATACCTGTAACGAAGGTTTTCTGCAATCTGACGTGACAGTGTTCGTGGAC